GCCAATTGTACAGTTACAATATAATTCTATACAGAAGCATTGCATGCCTGTCTTCTCACAGTTTTTTTTCTTGTTTTAGACTCCATTCACATTTGGCATTTGGGATCTCGGGAAGAATCGCTGTAATTCTGCCTGCTGTCTCAAATCACACAAAAAGCATGTTCAGGTGCCATTCATTTTCAATGGCACATACATGTAGTGCGGTTTTGCCACAGTTTAACCTACTCCTATTTGGGTGACAACCTTTGCGCATTGCGATTGCTGTGCAGTTTATTACGGCAAAACGCACTGCATTTTAGTCCCATTGAAAATGAATTCCGCTCGAATATGCGTTTTGCAATTGCAGCGCGATTTGAGATCGCAAGCAGAATTGCAGCGACTCCGCCCAAGATCCCAAAACGTCAAATGTGAATGAAGCCTTAGACTTTAGTTCCACTTTAACTCAGTAAAGTAACAGAAAAATTAAGAGAAAAAAAAAAAATTGGGCTCCGTTCACAGAGCTTATACACCAGGGTAAGGATCTTACTATTAAAAAAGTGACAGTTATTGTCAAATGAGATCAATGAGATGTAAAGATTACACTCACATGGTCAAAATAAAGATCCTTATTTTGTGTTTAAGTTCCATAAATATGAATGTACAGTATTTCTGGTGTAAAAAGCTTAACTTGACCTAATATACATTGCTACTTCCATAATCCAGTGTTTGAGAGATAAAGGCTGTCCTGTTCATATTTAAAAAGTATATAAAGCCATTTTTTTTTTTTTTTAGATGATGTAAGGAAAGGTTAGAACTCTTAAAGGGTTGTATGTTCCCCGCTCGCTATGTTTGTCCTGGTGACCACTGTCAATCTTACATTGGCTATCAAAACATGAATAGAGGGGAAATCTTCCAAAATTTGCTTTAACATTTGAGAAATGCCCTGTGTTGTAAAGGGAAGTCTCCTCAATGGTACACAGGCAACAAAATAAACAAAAACCTATCCAAAACAAAAATAATATATATTTTGCTATAAAGTTTGTATCCAGTTGGTCACTATGAGGCAATCTAGAATGGTTAAGATATTTCTTAGTCCATTGAGAAGATTATAAGGGTTTGAATGTGTCTCTTTACAGCTACAGACAAGGTTGCCTTACTAATCGGGAACATGTCCTACAAAAACCACTTGCAACTTAAAGCTCCAATGGTTGACGTGTACGAACTCACAAACTTACTGCGACAACTTGACTTCAAGGTTGTATCTCTTCTTGACCTCACCGAAGTCGAAATGAAGAATACGGTGGATGAATTCTTGCTTTTACTGGACAAAGGAGTTTATGGTAAGAAGCATTTAATAAATACGGTTATATAGAATTATGATGACTTAAAGCCCAACTCCATGAAAACAAACCTTTTACCCCACTCCAGCGCTCTCCTCTTCTGCCCGAAGCTCCAGTCTATAAGCAGAACTTTGGTGTCCTCACATAGAATGCAGGGACATTAAACTAGTATTGTATGTTTTGGAGCTGGACTGCACCCAATCTGGTTGCAGCCTACAGAGGAGATGTGGGGGACCGGTTACAGCACTGGAGGGACCCTGCTGTAGCAAATAATAAGGATTCTCCCTAATCCTTGACATAACAAGCAATTAACCATTGCAGTGCAGAGGGGCCCCAACACAAGGGTTTTTTTTTTAATTTTTCCTGGAGTTTGAATTTAAACTCAAAGTTCAGATGGGCTTAAAGGCAGCCCACTCATTTTGAATGCATACATAAACTGACCATTGGAGTTGGGCTTTAATAAAGGGGTTGTCTAACCTATAAACCTCTGGAACATCAATGTAGAAGTTCTACATTCCAAAGGCTACAGCTTATCCAATTGTAGTGAGGGCATGGTTATGAACAAAATGTGTGTAGCAGGTGAAGGTGATGACTGGAAGGTTAATTTAGGATTGAGTGCTGTTTAAAAATTTTCCTTTATTGTATCAAAATTAGTCAACATAACATATTGGTAAACTTCATCGACTTCCCCTTCCCCTAGAAAAATGACATCTAAAACATGTCCCTGTCATCTGGACCACACATTGTGTATACCACAAATCCCGCAATCACTATTCCCACATGAGGAGGTATACCCCTCTCAGATATCCACGATTTTGAGTAGTACTAGTAGTCAGTCACATTCAACTGGACTTGTTCTGTAATGTTGAAGATATTGTGTAGCTTGTCCAAGCCACTTCTTCAGTTGTAATGAGCGCCATGAAAATTCCCAGCATTTAAAACCACTATTAGCTGCTAGATCGGACATCTCTGTGCATCTTCTATTGTTCCAAATGTAGGACATCCTTAAGAATGCCTGCCAACCCAAATGTGTTTGATGTGTGATGTGTACCCTGACTTCCTTAGCACCCCTAGGTTGTCTTGTGACCCAGTGACAAGAACCTCAAAAGCAGATGATGGAGTTTGTTCCCAAATAAACCAAGTTCTTTAGGAACACCAATCTTTCACCATGCCCACCCCATGGTGCTCCATCAACATGGCACCATGGTACACTTTGCACCATCAAAGGGCTAGTTGGTTGAGTTTGCTCCCCACCCACGGCAAAGGTTCTTTCTCGGACAGCCCCCCATATCTCTCTCTACACAGTCACAGGTTCAAGAGCACTGTATTGTAAATACAGCCACATGCCTATGTATAAATCCAGCTTGCATGTATATTTCTGTGTTCTCAGTAGTGCGCTCCGTGGTAATTTTAGGTTTTCGTGCTTGGTTCTGAAATTGTACCCACCCTTACTTCCTGTGGTTTTGTTTTGCAAGATATTATAGACTGATAAGACCTCTGCTTCCCTCTTTTACAAAAGAGTTCCGCTGTCTGTTTTTAGTTGGCTTTGACAGTCTGTAATCTGGCACCAGCCTAGTGAAAGCTTTGTTTACCATCTATGCAAATAGTCCGTAGTCAATGATACCTGCACACAACTTGCTTGATATTGTCTTCCGTTTTAAAAGGTTGGTCATTCTAGGACTGGATTATACCATAGGCCAACCAAAAACTTTCCTTTTCAAGATGTTCATGTAACATGCAAATCTTAGGTGTATCACATTTGTCACTCCAGTGCTAGGAGCTGTGAATGCACCTCAAGAATGGTGGGCTTGTGAGAGCCAATGTTAGATGAACCCAAGCCCTTTCTCCGCTCATAGAGCAGCTTGTATCTTTATTAATTCCCTGCACTCAGCTGGCTGCCAAGACCCTGGAGTCAGCTCTTGCTCCATTGTAATCCACCATCCAAATAGAGAGCCACAGCACTTTTTAGAGATGATCCCCTAAATCCAGCCATTGAAAAATGATTACATGCATTAATATGCATTTAGAAATGTCCTCTAGACGCATATAAATGTAGGATTGACAGTGCAAATGTGGCCTAAAGAAGTATAGTGCTTTTTTATTGGGCCATTGATTTTACAAGGGTTGGTAATTCTCTCCTGACACTATTTGCAACATTAAAAGCAAGATCTCCCATGGACTTCACAGGGTGACCACAGCATGAGCTCTCTCTTTGTGTTGATGGGGCTGAGGCACATTCTATATCTAGTGTAATGTTGCCATTCATCCCCGTTTCCTAGAAATAGTCCCCATGGTGAGGGGGTCTTTCCCCAGGTTTGCCCCTGGAGTCTTAAATTTGTAGTGTGGAGGCTCCAGCAACCCAAAGATGGTGCCATCAGGTTGCCCGGTGTATACATGGCGAGTTCTCTGGCCGGACCACACAGATTGTTCCAGCTGTGCTGTTTCCATCTCACACTCAGTCTGAATTGGAGTCAATTTTACTGCTAATCTTACACTACCAGGCGGCTCCTGGGCACAATGCTTTACATGCTACCTAATTCTGACCCCTGATCATTATATGTTACCTAATTCTGACCCCTGATCATTATATGTTACCTAATTCTGACCCCTGATCATTATATGTTACCTAATTCTGACCCCTGTACTTTGTGTGTTACTTAATCCTGACCCCATAATATATATATGTTACCTAAACGTGACCCCTGAACTTTGTATGTTGCTTAATCTTAACCCACGAACTTGGTGCGTTACTTAATCCTGACCCCTGAACTTTATATGTCACTTAATCCCGACCCCTGAACTTTATGTTACTTAATCCTGACCCCTGAACTTTATGTTACTTAATCCTGACCCCTGAACTTTATATGTCACTTAATCCTGACCCCTGAACTTTATGTTACTTAATCCTGACCCCTGAACTTTATGTTACTTAATCCTGACCCCTGAACTTTATGTTACTTAATCCTGACCCCTGAACTTTATGTTACTTAATCCTGACCCCTGAACTTTATGTTACTTAATCCTGACCCCTGAACTTTATGTTACTTAATCCTGACCCCTGAACTTTATGTTACTTAATCCCGACCCCTGAACTTTATGTTACTTAATCCTAACCCCTGAATTTTGTGTGTTACTTAATCCTGACCCCTGAACTTTGTGTGTTACTTAATCCTGGCCCCTGAACTTTATATTTTACTTAATCCTGACCCCTGAACTTTGTGTTACTTAATCCTGAGCCCTGAACTTTATATGTTACTTAATCCTGACCCCTGAACTTTATGTTACTTAATCCTGACCCCTGAACTTTGTGTGTGTTACTTAACCACTTGCCTACCAGGCACTTATACCCCCTTATTTACCAGGCCAATTTTCAGCTTTCAGTGCTGCCGCACTTTGATTGACAATTGCGCGGTCATGCAACATTGTACCCATATGAAATTTTGATCATTTTTTTCTCACAAATAGAGCTTTCTTTTGGTGGTATTTAATCGCCACTGGGCGCTTTACTTTTTGCGCTATAAATTAAAAAATTGCAAAAAATTTGAAAAAAAAAAAAAAAGTTTCTTTGTTTCTATTATAAAATTTTTCAAACAGGTATTTTTTCTCCTTCACTGATGTGCGTTGATGAGGCAGCACTGATGGGCACTGATAGGCGGCACTGATGGGCACTGATAGGCAGCACTAAAGGGCACTGATAGGCAGTACTAATGAGGTGGCACGGATAGGTGGCACTGATAGACAGCACTAATGAGGTGTCACGGATAGGCGGCACTAATATGCAGCACTGATAGGCGGCACTGATAGGTGACACTGATGATGGGTACTGATAGACGGCACTGACTGGCATCACTGCTGGGCACTGGCTGGCGGCACTGACTGGCACAACCCCTGAGCACTGACTGGTGGCACTGACTGGCAGCACTGCTGGGCTGCACTGGTGGGTGGCACTGGTGGGCAGCACTGGTGGGTGGGCACAGGTGGGTGGCACTGGTGGGCACAGGTGGGTGGGCACAGGTGGGTGGCACTGCTGGGCACAGGTAGGTGGCACTTCTGGGCACAGGTGTGTGACACTGCAGAGTGGCACAGGTGGGTGCACTGCTGGGCACAGGTGGGTGATCTGCTGGGCACAGGTGGGCGGAGCTAGTGGGCGCACTGCTGGGCACAGGTGGGCGGAACTTGCGGGTGGCATTGCTGGGCACCGATCATCAGGGCACTGATCATCAGTGCCCTGATGATCAGTGCCGATCCCCGCTCTGACAACTGCCGGTTCTCGGCAGTACTTTCCTCACGATCTGACAGCGTGAGGAAAGTGCAGCCGAGAACCGGCACTTGCATTTCCCTGTGATCAGCGTGTCATTGGACACCGCTGATCACGTGGTAAAAGGCCGGTATGATTGACCTTTTACCACATCACGTGATCAGCTGTGTCCGTAGGACACAGCGTTCACGGAGATCGCCGGGTGCGCGCCCCCCTGGGGCGCACAGGAGAGCGCGTTCTGGGAGGACGTCATATGACGTCCACTCAGAACTGGCCGGCCGCAGTTTAGCCGTCATTCGGCTATCTGCGGTCGGCAACTAGTTAATCCTGACCCCTGAACTTTGTGTGTTACTTAATCCTGACCCCTGAACTTTATGTTACTTAATCCTGATCCCTGAACTTTGTGTGTTACTTAATCCTGACCCCTGAACTTTGTGTGTTACTTAATCCTGAGCCCTGAACTTTATATGTTACTTAATCCTGACCCCTGAACTTTGTGTGTTACTTAATCCTGACCCCTGAACTTTATATTTTACTTAATCCCAACCCCTGAACTTTATGTTACTTAATCCTGAGCCCTGAACTTTATATGTTACTTAATCCTGACCCCTGAAGTTTGTGTGTTACTTAATCCTGACAATTGAACTTTGTGTGTAACTTAATCCTGACCCCTGAACTTTATATTTTACTTAATCCCAACCCCTGAACTTTATGTTACTTAATCCTGACCCCTGAACTTTGTGTGTTACTTAATCCTGACCCCTGAACTTTGTGTGTTACTTAATCCTGACCCCTGAACTTTATGTTACTTAATCCTGATCCCTGAACTTTGTGTGTTACTTAATCCTGACCCCTGAACTTTGTGTGTTACTTAATCCTGACCCCTGAACTTTATGTTACTTAATCCTGATCCCTGAACTTTGTGTGTTACTTAATCCTGACCCCTGAACTTTATGTTACTTAATCCTGATCCCTGAACTTTGTGTGTAACTTAATCCTGACCCCTGAACTTTATATTTTACTTAATCCCAACCCCTGAACTTTGTGTGTTACTTAATCCTGACCCCTGAAACTTTATGTTACTTAAGCCTGACCCCTGAACTTTGTGTGTTACTTAATCCTGAGCCCTGAACTTTATATGTTACTTATTCCTTAGCCCTGAACTTTATATATTACTTAATCCTGACCCCTGAACTCTGTGTGTTACTTAATCCTGACCCCGGAACTCTCTGTGTTACCTAATCCTGACCCCGGAACTCTCTGTGTTACCTAATCCTGACCCTGGAACTCTCTGTGTTACCTAATCCTGACCCGTGAACTCTTTCTGTTGCTTTATCCTCGCCCCTGAACTCTGTGTGTAACTTATTCATGCTGCTAAGGTTTCCTTCTATCACTATTTTTTCAGTTTATCAAATGGGGGCATGGTTTTGAGGTGTGTGACTACAAATGAGGGTGTGGTTTTATAGGTGGGGTCAGTAGGGTGTCCCCGGATTTCATTTAAGATATCTGATAACCTTAACATATGGAAATTGTAAATACTCCATGGGGCCATTTTGTTGTTCCCTAATATGGTAAGAGTATGAAATATTCACCTTTCGGAGCAAATGATGGACTTCATTCTGCCTAATCTGGGGTTTCCATGCAGATGGATATGAAAGTAACATCCATTGTCTTCCAGGATTGTTGTACTACGCTGGCCACGGGTACGAAAATTTTGGAAACAGTTTCATGGTGCCGATCGATGCTCCAAAACCATACAAGTCCTCCAACTGTTTGTGTGTGCAAAGCATACTAAAGCGGATGCAAGAAAAAGAGACCGGGCTCAATGTTTTCTTACTCGATATGTGCCGGAAGAGGTAAGAAGCAGCCGTCTGCCCCATGACATGGGATCGTTAGAAAGCTCAATGTCTAAAGAAAGAGTAACACCCATTTTTAACCCCTTCCTGCACCGCCTTGGCATTAAATGAGTCTATACGGTTGGGGGTGGGACAGGTTGGAATGCAATGGACTGCCGATTGCATGTCCAATAATATTTGCTGTCACAGTGGTCACATGATCAGAGCCCATCCCGCCGACTCCTGATCATTATTACAGACTAAGACCAGCTCGGTCACTGTGCTGGGAGCACGTGATGATGGTTGTGTGCCTTCTTCTGGCATAGATTGTTCATTTGGCACAGTGTGCAGGAGAAGAAGCTGAGGGATCACATAACAGCCTATGCAGTATTGAAAACAGAAGTGTGTCCTTGGAAGTTTGTAAAATTTACCATACACTGTACAATCTGATTGTACAATCTTTTAGATCTACCATCAACTATGTAGTGCAAGGCCTGCCTGACTGGATACAGAGTGATTAGATGGATAGGTGTGACCTCCTATTATATAGTTTTTATAGTTTTGGTAAATCTAAAGTAAAGAGATTGTACAATGAGATTGTATAGTGTATGGCCACCTTTATACACCTAAAATGAACGAGTTGTGCTTTTGGTGCCACTAATTGTTAACAATACACCAAATGCAGAAAGCAAACACGCATTTTTTCTGCATTCAAATACGTGGGACAAATGCAGAAAAAGGCAAAATCACAACATGCAGGAAATGCCCCATGAGCTACTTTGCTGTGCATAGGGCAGCCCATTGAAATCAATGGGCTGCCCTATGCATGTCACCAGTAAAATGTGGCAAAAACAGTACGCTACCACTATGCCAGGTGTGAATTTTATTTTTATTTTATTTCAGGTACTTGTATAGCGCCGTCAATTTACGAAGAGCTTTACATGTGTGTATACATACATATATATAATATACATTCACATCGTTCCTAACCCTCAAGGGGCGTACAATCTAAGGACCCTAACTCACATTCATACATACACATACTAGGGACAATTTAGACAAGATCCAATTAACCTACCAGCATGTCTTTGGAGTGTGGGAGGAAGCCGGAGTACCCGGAGGAAACCCACACAGGCACAGGGAGAACATGCAAACTCCAGTCAGGTGGTGCTGTGGTTGGGATTCAAACCAGCAACCCTAGGGCTGCTAGGTGGAAATGTGCTCTCTCTCTCAAGCCCCTAGGCATGCAGACTGCTTCTACAAACTTTTTGTGAAAGAATGGGTCGCTCTCAGGAGCTCAGTGACTCCAAGCGTGGTCCCGTGATAGGTTGTCACCTGTGCAATAAGTCCATCCGTGACATTTCCTTGCTACTAAATATTCCACAGTCAACTGTTAGTGGGATTGTAAACAAAGTGGAAGCAACTGGGAACAACAGCAACTCAGCCACGAAGTGGTAGGCCACATAAAATGACAGAGCGTGGGCAGCGCATGCTGAAGCTCACAGTGTGCAGAAGTCACCAACTGTCTGCAGAGTCAATAGCTAAAGACCTCCAAACCTCATGTAGCCTTCAATTTAGCACAACAACAGTGTATAGAGAGCTTCATGGAATGGGTTTTCATGGCCGAGCAGCTGCATCCAAACCTTACATCACCAAGTGCGATACAAAGCGTTGGATGCAGTGGTGTAAAGCACGTTGCCACTGGACTCTAGAGCCGTGAAGACGTGTTCTCTGGAGTGATGCATCATGGTTCTCTGTCTGGCAATCTGATGGACGTGTCTGGGTTTGGCAGTTGGCTCCTGTCTAAATTGGCCCTAGTGTTTATATGTATGAATGAAAGTTAGGGACCTTAGAATGTACGCCCCTTGAGGGTTAAGGACTGGGGTGACTGTACAATATATATGTAAAGTGCTGTGTAAATTGGCAGCGCTATATAAGAATAAAGAACAATAACTTGTAATAAAGAATGTATGAATATAACATTTCTGTTTTGTTATACAGTGTGCCTGTCTGTCTCTCATCTCAAAACATATCTTCTTACAGGAACCAGTATGACAACACTATCCTAATTCCTGAAAACCTGAAGGTGACGGCTAACATTGTCTTTGGCTATGCCACGTAAGTTCTGCTCATACTCATTGGCTTTGGCTGGCAGCTGAAGATTTGATCATTCAGTTTTAGAAGGCATCAGAGTGTAAATCTTCCAATGGGGACACTAGTTCTGATGACTCTGGTGGGAACCAGGGATTCCATCACTTTAGAGGAATTTCTTCTTACTTTCTGTATTAATGTTGGGACAGGAAGTAAAGAGCAATCTCCCAATGGGACACAGATAATAGCGAAAAAGAAAACAAATGACAGGGTTATCCTCCCTTTTTCTATCTAAAATAAAAAAAATAAAAAAGCTTTGCCTTTTGGCTCTACTTTACTATCAGTGACATTACTTTTTATTTTGTAATTATCTGATTTTTCTTTCCTGCAACCATGAGTTGCAGGAAAGAAAATTGCTCGATTCCACCATTAGCATAGTCAGTGTGGATGGGGGAATGTCTCCCACAGAGCTATGGTGTTCTTCCAGCGGGGTTGGGGGGCATCCCTGATCATTGATATTGATCATTGCTGTGGCTGTAGCAATAATCGCATTCAACCATGCTGGTTGTATCCAAGTTTGTCGATGGATTGTCTTGGGTACAATCACCCTGCCCATAGTTGGATTGAATCTTAGCTGGTCCCTGCTGAGATCCAGCATGAAGAACCAGTCCACACACATAGAAACACAGTCCAGAAGCGTTCCAGATGCATTTTTGCATGCGTGTTTTTGATGCATTCTGTTGCGTTTTTGACGCGTTACGGTGCGTTTTTCCACCTTTTTGTCTTTGTTCATTTTAAATATGAACATGTGCATTCCAGTGTGTTTTTTGGTTAATTTAGGTGCGTTGGTAGTGCGTTTTTTGATGTGTTTTGCTGCATTCCAGTACAGTTCAGTGCAGAAAAAATGCAGCATGTTCTACTTTTTTTTTTTTTTATAGAACTGACCGCACTGGTGTGAACTATGCCACTGGAAATCATATAACGTACTACCCATGTGTTTTTGATGCAGAAAAAAAAACACAGTGGACTGCATG